TGCTCCATGTGCTCCCTTTATTATGCATGTCACCCAGCTCTAGCTACTGTGAAACTAGAAGGTCACAGCTTGGCTCTGTGCTCAGAAATATGGCACCTGTCAGGCGCATGATTTAGGAACTCGGCCTTCCTCAGTGGGACCTCAGTGTAGTAAAATCAAGTCAACGATTCTATCCATGGCTGCTATATAAAGGCTGGGAGAAATATGAAGCTCTGTCTTAACAATACACTTTTCAGCAATGAACTTTTTTAGCAAGATGACACTGAAGTCCACCCCCCACCCTGGTTTCCAAATAGCTCAGCACTGGAACCTGAATAAGATGTGGTGATTCTGTTGGACAAACCAAGACAAAACACCTTGCGAGGGTGTGGGACAGACAACAGGACACATAGCGCAGGTGGCTCGGGTTTGCAAGGTTAGTCTTCTCTCATTTGATGTCACTACCTCTGGCTCTTTTCCTTTTCTTTGCCAGAAGTACACTGGCAAATGTTTAACATCTGATTCTCTGGAGGTGGGGAAAGCCTGAATTAATAGTGTTTGCCTAATTCCAATGATAGGAGTACTTCCACTTGGCCAATTTCAAGTTACTCTCACGATGTCACTGAACACAGAGCTGGGAAGAAATGGTAACAACTGGCTCCTGCCAACTGCTATGAACTGGCTGCAGGACAACACTGCCACACCATCTCCCTACGAGGAACAGGGACCCCCTACGTGGAGCTGGACACTCTATGTATGTAGCTGGCACTACATACATGATATTTCATACAATTTTAACTATCATTGTTTGAGGCTGGGATTATTATTGCCATTTCAGGGATGAGAAAGGCGAGGTTCAGAGAGATTGTATAGCCAGCACTGGTTCACTTAATCAGCTCGCGGCAAAGTTGGAATTTGAACACTGTGCGTACATCTCACAGCGGAACACTCCTCCTCCCCAGTCTGAGTCCTTCTCTTTCTTCCCTGGATGGGAACCTGGCTTTCTAACAGCCTCCAGAGCTCCACTCTCCCCTGGATCCTCCCACAGTGCTCTTCTGCCCATGGAACGCCTCCACTCCCAGTTCAGAATGAAGTCCAGTTTATTTAGCTTGGCTCCAGAGTGCAGCCTGCACTTCCTCAACCAATCTCTCGACTCTAGCAAAATGAGTTTCCCCACAGTCCCTAGATACACCCGAGATCGTTGACCTTCTTGCACTATCAGCTTTTCCTTATTCCACTTAGCAGCAATGGTCCCATTCAAACTCTGTCTTGTCCTGCTAGCCCTGCGAAACCTCTTGAGCCCCTGGAGTCTCTTCCTCTCTTGAGCTTCTCCAGCATTCCTATCTGGACCACTCGCCATGTGGTTAACGCCAGATGCTTTTATAAAAACTACGTTGTTTGCTGGTTTGGATTTCTTAACAGCTCCCGGGAGGCCACAAGCTACTCAGGGGCAGGACCATGTGATATACATAATGATCAGACAGCCACAAAGAGTCCCTTGCTCAGACAGGTGGTGTTCAGCAACTCTCCCCAGAGCAAAACATACCCGTCTTGACCACTGTGGAGTAATTGCAAGGCAGTGTACTGCTCCTCTGGGGTCTCAGACCCAGGGGCAGCTTTACAAGAACAAACTCAAGCTATGATTAAAAAATATTTTTAAACAACAAATCTCTCCCCTCTAAATGACATTTAATTGCTACAAAGATCAAGAGAAGGCAACTTCTCTGGCTGGAAATGCAAACAATGTGAGTTCTTCAGGGCTCTGGGTATGGGTAACAAGATTCATTGTGACTCAGTTCTCCAGTCCACTGAGTTTTGGAGGACACAGGCAGTGTGTCACCGCAGATGGGCTGCCAACCCCCAATTAAGCTGTTCTGGATGTCCACTGGTGGTGACTTTCAGGTAACTTTCATCAAGCCTCGAAGGAGGGCAGCTACCTGACACTAGCAGAGTTTGAGTGTGCCAGGTACTTATCACTGACCCCCCTTAGCAGTCTACATCAAACCATCATGCTGGCCGGAAACAGTGCGCTGAGTTCTGATGATACGGAAACACCGTACTATCGATGATACAGCTATATACATGAAACCTGCCAGTGGCAGGAGTGCCTGATGCCGTCCACACCTAGGAATGCTCTGCTGGAACCCAGTTTAACTCAGGCACAGTTATAACCCACTCCATAAAGCCTGTGGCACAGAGAAAATTATGCCAGGACCTTGCTAGAAAGAAGAGGCGGTAGTTACAAGGCCCCATGGGGTTTATCTTCCAGGATGGACTGGCCCTGGGTTTGGGATTGCACCGAGTTCATTTCCGGCTCTCATGAGTCAGGCTGCCACTTTTCTCAGAGGGCGGAAGCCAGTGGAGTGTGGCAAAGGTATCTGGCAGCCTGTCTTTGCTGCTTCCTGTGAAAACGAGGTGGTATGCCTCCACTGGCTGTTTCATTTCTGGGCCCCCCTTGTGTCTTTTTGTTGTTGTTGTTGTTGTTTATATAGAGGTGGGATCTCGTTATGTTGCTCAGGCTCCCCTCAAACTCCTAGGCTCAAGGAATCTTCCTGCCTCGGCCTCCCAAAGTGCTGGATTATGGATGTGGGCCATCACACTCGGCTTCCCCTCATCTCTTGTGCTTGGCATAATGCTGGTGTGCAGTAGGTGCTCAATAAATACTGACTTGGGTGTAATATTGATGAACTATACAAAGTTTAATGGAGTGTGTGTGCCTGTGTGACTGCACATGTGTGAATGTGTGTGCATGGTGTGTGCATGTGCGTGTTCACATGTATGTGCATGACATATGTGTGTACATGTGTGAGTGTGTGAACATGTGTGTCTGTGCATGTACATATGTGCTGGATCGGGGTGAGGCAGAGCTGGCACTCAGATAACCACCAGCACTCATGTCCCAAACTCAGTAGCAGCAACCATTTGGTGCCTACCCTGGTCCCTTCTCATTTAGTGCCATCTTCACCAACCATCTTCACCAACCAGCCAGAAAGACAAGCTTGATTCTGTTTTGAATACGAGGAAACAGAGGCTCAGTGACATGCAGTAGGCCTTACTGTGTGCAGGGAGGTATGGATTCCAGTGGAGTCTGACCCCCTGTCCCCTGTGCTGCAGTGCCTCCTGGGCAGATGCCAGGCACTGGTCCAGGAAAATTCTCCCACACAGTGAGTGGAACCATCCGAAGCTGATGTCAGTGTATTCCACAGTGGCTGTGTGTTATGAAGACGGAACAGGACTGGTACTCAGGGGCTTTGGGACTGGCGTCTGGTATACTGGGCGTCTGAGGACATGGCACTGAACTTCACCGTGTGCCACAGCCTCCTCACCTTATAATGGAAACAACAGTGCATGCCTCCTAGCATCGTCATGGGGGTGTAAATTCTTACATGTGAGGCGTGTATAACTGCATGTGTATGCAGGAAGCACTCAGTAGATATGCTCCTAACACACCCTCGTAAGTAAGCACTTACCTAATCCAGCTATTGTGCTTGAAAATGTGGTGCTGGGAAAGACCTGGAGCTTGACCATGACACACACATTCAGGGTATGGATCCTGTGCCCACCATGCAGTAAGTGGGCTGTGGTGAGTGACAGGGAGGGTGGCATAACCTCCCTACAGCTCCCTTTCCTAGTCCAGAAGCTTGAGATAGTGGCAGCTACCTCGCAGGGCTGCTGGGATGACTGAATGGACTTAACATACCTCACGTAGGGTCTTGCGTGCAGTGATCCCGCAACAGTGGACAGGCATTATTGGGATCTGGCCATATTCTGAGAACAAAGCTTGACACATTCTGGAATCAAAATGTCATTGTCAAATGTGCCTGCTCAGTGCAATTCCACGTGGCTACTTGACTCTCTGCAATAACTTGTCTGAAAAAGAGCCAGAAGCCACAGGAGATGAATGAACTGGTTTTAAGGAGTGAATGGTTTTTAGAGGCATTGAGGGTGCCCTGGAGGCCATCCCCCTACAGTGCACCTCACGCCAAATGCACCTGCCAGCACCTGCATTCCTTTGCTGGAGAACTTGCACCAACAGCCAAAGGCCTTTGCTTATCTGTGCAGCAGGCTGGATATGATGAGGAATTAGTATCTCTCTCAGGTGCAGCCCTCACCCAGTGACTGGGGTATTTATACCCCAGCTCCCTTGCTCACTATGAGACCGGAAGAATGCAGGGTGGTCCCAGAAGAATAGAAAGTTCCAGTCAGTAGTTTCACATGAGGAAATGGAGGAAAATGTTGGAATAGCTGCAGAAGCTAGGGGCTAAGACCCTGAAAAACCAGGGTGCGGGCCAAGCTGGCTAAGACCAATTGGACCCAATGTGGCACTGGATTTGACCTAGGTTTTCCCTAGGACCTCATTACATACTCATTAACATACTAAATCACACAGCCACCAGAACCACCACAGTTCCAGGAGCACCCGTATTTGGTGCAAAAATGAAGGACACTTCAGTTCTGAGAAATCTCCACCTTTTTTTCAGGGATGTTCGTGAATATTCCACTCCTTGGTTCAAGAAATGCATAGAGGTAGCAACCCCAATCGCCCTTCAGAGGGATTCCTTCTCTCTTGAAAACGCTCACACTCCCTTTTCTTGGGTGTGTCCTTTTCATTTTGCAATACATCACCGTACTTTTACGATTTTCTGATTCATTCTTGAATTTCTTCTTACAGTCAGGAGCCTGGACACTGAATGGGGCAAGGTCTCACCGGCGTCTGGGGACCTCCCCCAGCCTACAGGTATCACTTGGATGGAGAAAGCTCAGGAGCGTGTTCTGCTGGGATTCAGCTCCTGTTCACATAATGGCGGCTGGTTGGACAGTGCAGAGTGTGTGGGCTGTGTTCCGCTCCTGTCCCACTTCCCACCCCCTGCTGGTATTTTATGGGTTTTTCTCCAATATTTGTCCCAATCCAAAGTAAGACAGTTATGTCAACAGAATTCCCATCGGACAGTGGTTGATTGTTCTAGATGCCAATGCCCGGACCAGCAGGAAGTGACTTCATCAAGCCAGAGTGGTGAATTAGTTCCAGGGGGTTTTCCTGAGCCTCTCAACAACAGGAGAGACTTGCAGAGCGCGGCAGGAACTGAAAGGGGCTTGCGTGAATGAAAAATCCAGAGAAAGGTGTCCTGCGGAACGGGCAGGGTAAGATTTTAAAGAGCTCCCTCTGTCACAGAGAAATAACAAGCTTTGCATGCAGGGGAGCTGGTTAATTGGCCTACTTTCCTGCAAACTAGCTCTCAAACTCTCACAATAGTCCTGGAGGAACGAATTATGGTTGCCACTTACAGGTAAGGAAATGGAGGCAGTGAGAGGTAAAGGAGCTCACAGTGTTCCCGTGATCATTAAAAGAGAAAATAGACACCAAGACTCAACCCTTGGCTCACAGTAGGTGCCATTTCATGTCATTGCCTGCTTCTTCCTGATGTGATGGAGGAGTCTTTTGGCAGGGTGGCCTGGGTCTGTTTCTCAGCTTCCCTGAGTCTATTTCCCAAGACAGAAGAAAGCGCAGACAGGGGCTTTCATGTGTGGTGAACCAGGCAGTTCAGACCGGTCCTCCCACCAAACCCAAAAGGAGGTGGAAAATATATATACATACAAAAAGTGGGGAAGAAGTCAGGGTAGGTTAGGGTATTACAGGAAAGCAATCACTACAAGTCTTCATTTGGCTCTACTCTTTTTTTGTTTGTTTGTTTGGAGATAGTATTTTGCTCTCTTGCCCAGGCTGGAGTTCAGTAGCGCCATCGCGGCCCACTACAACCTCTGCCTCCTGAGTTCAAGCGATCCTCCTTCCTCAGCCTCCCGAGTGGCTGGGACTACAGGTGTATGCCAATACCCCCAGTTAATTTTTGTATTTTTAGTAGAGATGAGGTTTCGCCATGTTGGCTGGGCTGATCTTGAACTACCGATCTCAAGTGATTCACCTGCCTTGGCCTCCCAAAATGTTGGGATTACAGGCGTGAGCCATGGCGTCCAGCCTTCTCATTTTTTTTAATGGCTGGTATCCCATTTCAAGGAGGGTCTGAGAGAGTTTTATAGGCAAAATGATGTTGATCTGAAAAATTCAGAGATTTCCAAAGAATTTTTGATTTTGGAGAGAATGATCAGGACTGGAAGACTGTATTTTCCCAAGTAAACGATCATTAAAGAGGCTAGACCGGGCGTGGTGGCTCACACCTATAATCCCAGCACTTTGGGAGGCTGAGGCGGGCAGATCATGAGGTCAGGAGTTTGAGACCAGCCTGGCCAACATAGTGAAACTCCGTCTCTACTAAAAATACAAAAATTAGCCGGGCGTAGTGACGGGCACCTGTAATCTCAGCTACACTGGAGGCCGAGGCAGGAGAATTGCTTGAGCCCTGAAGGCGGAGGCTACAGTAAGCCAAGATCACACCACTGAACTCCAGCCTGGGTAACAGAGTGAGACTCTGTCTCAAGACACACACACACACAAGAGGCTAGTGACGGGTGCAGCAGAATGGGGATTAATGATTGCCAAGGGTTGGAGGGAAAGAGGAATGTTCGGGTGGAACACATAGGATATTTAAGGATATTTAAGGTTCAAACTATTCTTTCGGTATGACGGTGGTAGATGCATGCTGTTATACATTTGTCCAAACCTATAGGATGTCCAATACCAAAAGGGAACCGTAATTTGCACTATGGCCTCTGGGTGATCATGACATGTCAATGTAGGTTCATTAGTTGTAATAAATGTCCCAGTTTGGTGGGGGATATTGATCATGGGAGAGGCTGTGAATGTGTGGGGGTAGGAGACATGTGGAAACTCCCTCTGCCTTCTGCTCAATTTTGCTGTGAACCCGCAACTGCTCTGAAAAACAAAGTCTATCAAAAAAAAATAATAAAAATGAGCAAGTCTAAGTTTTCCTAGCTTTAAGGAAAACAACATGAACTCAGCAAAATGGAAGACCGTATCAAGATGATATTAAAGGTAAATTGCATATCCTGGGGAAAGATTTTAACAATATCTGATAGAACAGTCATCAAACATGGAGAGAAAATTACTGCAAAAGAGGAGGGTAGTGGACAGCTGTTGTTTCCCCATCCCCCCCACAGGAAGGCATTTCTTCTTCCTTCATTTTGGTGAAAACATCCTAATTGCTACAACCCCACCCCTGTCACAGCCTGTTGTCAAGGTGGACCATCCCCTGGCTAGGAAGTGGGCCCTGACCCACGCCAAGACATCATAATCACTCCCCAGTTTGACTCCTAGCCTGGGCTGACAGTTGGCATTGAGCGTCAAACTGCCACCCAGGGCTCCCCTGAGGGATCTGCCTGCCTGTCAGTCACACATAGCTCACCAAGACACTGTTTTTTGCATTCATTCTTCAGAGTTAATTTCTGTTGCTTGCACCCAACTCTAATGGATAAAAACATCATTTCAGACACAGGGTAGTATTCAGAAATGCATTTTACTAACTCTGCTGCTGCTGCTGCCACCCGGAAGGAGACTTACCAAGACCCGGTACTTACAAGCCCCAGGCTCCTGGCTCCCTTACGGCAGCCAGTATAAATACTCTAAAATGCTAAAACAAACAAGTGCCTGCAGGAAATCCTGGCACCACCTGTCAGGGTAAGGTCAGCAAGGATAAAGTAGATGGGTTTTTGAAGCGAAAAACAGCTGCGAATGAAGCATTATCCAAACCCCGATCAAGTAAAGGGGAACGTTAGCCTCTGATGGGAAAATAGACTTTGCGTTGGCCATAAGTAACTGCACTACGTATGGGAATAGCCCAAGTGATTATTACACAGAGCTGCATATTTATGCCAGCATGAATTCATAGCAATAAAGCTCTATTTCATATCTTTTGTGGAATGAGGTGGAGGTATTTACGAGCAAAGGCATGCATGAATGAATGAACAAATACTCTAAATGATAGCAATAAAACTCTCACTCTCAAACCTAGCTACAGCTTTATTCAATCCTAGCTGGAAAGTCCTTGCTCAGCAAACAACAACTACCTGAGATCACAAATGATGTAAAGAAACAGATGGGCAGAAGCAACAAACTCAAGGCTTTTCCTTTTTCTTAAAATCACAAGAGAACTAGATAAAGGTACTTTGCAAAAACTTTAATTAGGAATTAAAGATAAAGACCCATTCTCATTGACGATAGATGAGTATCATCAGAACTCTCTCCTCCTAGCAGATTAAGAAGGCATTTCCCATTTCTGTCTTCTGTAGAAAAGCTACTAAACATAAAACAAACACATCCACAGATGCCAGGATGTCAGACATTTCGCCTGTTTAACTCATGAATATGCAATAGCTCCTGAGTCTATCTTATGACAGTCTTATGTTGCAGTCTCTGTAGACAACGTTTTGAATCTTCTGAAACTGTACCTCATACTGATAGCTGAAGTCCAAGTCAATAGGTCAAAGTCTCCAGTGTTAGTTACAGAGGTAGAAAGTATCACATGCTTAGTTATCAAATGTTTGCAGAACATTCTGTGGTGGGGCACTGGGAAACAGTTTCCCCCATGCTTACCAAATACCCTCATGAAAACATACTGAAGCACACTGGGGCAGCATAGCTAGGTATGCAGTCACTTTGGAAGTATGCTTCACAGTGTTTTATTTAATTTTTATGCCAGTTATCTATGACTAAGAGTATAGATTTCACTTCTGTTAAGCATTGCCACCAATAATAAAAATCAATCTTTTAGGGACAGGGATATTAACAGCACTTGGGGCAAGACACTAAAGCAATGTGATCCTCTCTGCATTTCTAGAAACTACAGAAAGGGTTCAAAGTGCCATTTACTATTGTGTGATTTGCAACGGATGGGATTGTTGTGGCTTCTGTGGCACTGATGTTCTCTTCTTCCTGTAAGACCACCTGACTTGGATTAGGGCAGCCACCCCTCCCCTCACTGCCCCAGGGTTTTGGATGGGACCAGTGGCCAGTGATGGGTGTAGAGATCCACTCTGAACCAGTGAACATGAGCCTAGGAATTCTGAAGAATACTGGACAGGCATCTCTCTGAGAGGCAGAGTTGGTGAGCTGCTAGACCCAGAGCTACTGCTGACCTTTTGCAACCAGAGCAAAGCCTCTTTGAGAGTAATGCTGAGATTCCTGATTGCCCCATCCTGACGGCACATGCAGGGCTGATGTCACTGTCATGGACTGTTCTGATTGGCTGGTATCCACTGTTAAATGTTCTTATTTGAATATTTCCCACAAACCTCAGATCCAGTTCTGGTTAAAACCACATCCACCCTTGGACCTCCCAGTTATGTGAGATACATCAATTCACTTTCCCCAGCTCATTCTAGTTTAAGTTAGGTTTCCTTTGTAAGTAAAAGAGTCCCAGCTGATAGGTAAACGTACCATTTGTGAGGGGTAAAGTTAACGTAACATGTCTTTTTACCTACAAATTTGAAGAGAAAACCATTAATTTATTTATTTAGAGATGGAGTCTCGCTCTGTTTCACAGGCTTGAGTGCAATGGTGCGATCTTGGCTCACTGCAGCCTCTGCCTCCCGGATTCAAATGATTCTCCTGCCTCAGCCTCCTGGGTAGCTGAGGCTACAGACAAGTGCCACCAAGCCCGGCTAATTTTTTATATTTTTAGTAGAGACGGGATTTCACCATGTTAGCCAGGATGGTCTCCATCTCCTGATCCTGTGATCCGCTTGCCTCGGCCTCCCAGAGTGCTGGGATTACAGGCGTGAACCACCACACCCGGCCCGTTTTTTTTTTGTTTTTTTTTTTTTTTTTTTTTTTTTTTTTTTTTTTTGGTGATGGGAAAAGTTGACAGACGCAAATATCTATCTACTTGCTTGATGTTTCCCTCCTTCAAAATTTCCCTTTCTCCCCAACCCTGTCTAAAAGAACATAATGCTCATTACAAACCAGTGTGGCTTTATAAAAAATAAGTCGGACCCAAAGAACCTCATTTCTCACGAAAATGAGTTGCCTTCTATGTGGACGCAGGTGAGGCATGTCACAAGGTCTTGTGGAAAAGATGGAAGAAGGTAGGGTGGAAGGCCAATGGCAGAAGACGAGGTGAGCTCCCTGGTGGAGTAATCGTTTCTGGTGGGTGCTGGATTGGCACACTGCCATCTATCAATGCGTCTGCGAAGGACCCCGGCCCATTAGATGGAAAGAGGGCTGGAAGAAT